GGGTCACAGGGCGAGTCGCTGCGCGGGCTCGCTAAGCCTCGTTTGCGTAACGGTAATTCTGTTCCCAGGGTCGTCGTTTCCCGCCGCCGAACTGCCCCGGGGTTTGTACACCTGTGAGCGGCGGTGCCCCGCGCAGGAGCCGCTTGCTGCGGCTCGCTGCCTTCCCGGGGGCGGCCCGGAGTTCGCTAGGGGCAGGGCGTGCGGAGCCCTAGGGCGTGTCCCTCTCCCGCTTAGTGCCTGGTGGGTTTTGCTGGACGGGGAGGCGGAGCTCAAGCCTGCACCGCCCCTGCTCGCAGCACGGGGCACATCCTGGGGGGCGGGGCGGAGTAACACACTGGGGCGGGGCGTGAGCAGCTGGGAGACACCTGAGCAGAGCGCGAGCTGTTTGGGGTTTGCCTGTGATTTTCCTCTAGCAGCTAACTAAGGGGGACAGTTGATTGGCTTAACCGACAAAACATTGCTCCCTGTGCTCTTCCCCCCCGCAGTGCGGAGGCTGTGGCGCTTTGCCAGACCCGGACAAAATGAAACTAACGCGCCGAAATAGGTTATTTAAAGTTAAAATGATTGGTTATTCTTTTTGTCTCTTGCAGGTTCTGCAGCATAGCTGGAAAAAACAGTAATTTACTGAAGCTCTTTATTACCAACATTGGACTGCACGTGCAGATTAAAGTATGGCAATGGAGATCAACTTTCTTAGAGATCAAAGTAAGTTCCATCTAGACTTAAAATAGATTTTTGTGCACTTCAACACAGTCTTGCAATTACATTTCTCCATAACCTGAAACTGTGTTTCGCTCCCTGATTATTGTTTGAAAGATGAATGCTGAACAGGAAACCTGCTCCTCCTAGTCCCAGAGTAAACAAACAGAACCCCCGCACTGTTCTGTTATACAGTAATTTTAGGAGTTACTTTCTGTAAAACTCTCTCCCACTACTTAGTTAAGAAAATAACTGTGTCAACAACTCTGGTTTGTCTTCAATAACAATAGTAAACAAAAATTCAGTCTCACTGTTGACTATGGTTCATTGATACTTTTAGCTTTCGTTTCCCATCCCCACCTACCTACAATGTTGAGAGGTGGTTGGCATATGCACTGTAGGATTAGACATGTTGGAAGGGACCTACTTGGAATGCTGCTTCCTTCTTCTGTGTCTAAGATGGTGCTGAAGAGCACTCCTACTGTGTTGCCTCTACTCTGTCAGTATTCAGTAATGCCTTTCTCCAAGGCTACGTCTACACTGGGAAGTTCACAGCGCTGCCGTGGGAGCGCTCCTGTGGCAGCGCTTTGATGTGTGAGTGTGGCCGCGTGCGAGCGCTGGGAGAGAGCTCTCCCAGTGCTCCTGGTAGTCTATCTGCACGAGAGGAATAGCTCGGCGCTTGTCCAGGCTAGCGCTTTGCAGCGCTCAAACTTGCTGCGCTTGGGGGGAAGGAGGGGGAGAGTTGTGCATGATTTTTCACACCCCTGAGCCAGCAAGTTGGAACGCTGTAAAATATAAGTGTAGATGAGCCCTAATTTTGTCATATGTAGGGAATTTTCTTAGTTATCTTTTGAGACTTATTTGTAGAGTGGAAGTACTGGACATGAGACCTTGGTATTTCTGTTTTTATGCAACTGGATGGTATAAAACTTGATTCTTGTGTATCCATAGAAACCCCATATTAATGTTCTTTTTGGGACTATGAAATTAGAATATGTATATTTTGTCCTTTTACTGGTGAGAATAGGCATATTTTTTTAGTTATTGTTCATGAAATAGGCTTCACTACAAACTGGTATCAGCATTATTCTTTTGTAAGGGATGCACTGCGTTGATAGAATCGATAAATAAAATTACTAAGGTTCTGAGGAAGCTAATCTTAAAATATACAATAAGCACTTCCAGCTCTACAGCTTTTTTTCTGGTATGTCCATAGGGCTACATTCTGTAAACAGGAAGTGACCTGCTGTACCGTATAGATCAGTGATCCCCAAACTTTTCAGGGTTGTGTGCACCTCTCAAGCTGGTGCCGAGAGCAGGGCAGCACTTGGGGGTGAGTCTGGGGCCGGCAGCTGGGCCCACAGCCAGGTGCGGAGCCACCCCGAGGCTGGGCGGTGCTTCATGCCCCCCATAGGGGCTGGCCCAGGCCCTCTGCACCCCCTAGGGGGGCACACCCCACAGTTTAGGAACCTCTGGTATAGATGAATGTAATCCCAGCTGCTATTACTAGTATGTGGGGAAAACTGCTAGCAGGGTAGGGAATGAGAGCTTGCATCAAGGATGCCTGCTAACATTTTAACAAACTGTTTAACAGAACAAGCAAAGTAATATATATAATGGTTAGAATTACCACTGATAGCACAATTTTTATTTTTTTAAAATAAAGAAATATATTCAACAGCTGATTTGGATGACTTCAGGTGAAAAGTCACCTCTGTAATAGAGAAGAAGAGCTTCTGTATCAGATCCTCTTTCCATTATTGGCGGGGGGAGGTTGTATTTTTGAATAGTAACTTGTATGGTTCGTGCACCTAGCCCAATGCTTTTATTTGCCCCCCCCCCCTTTTTTTTTTAAGTGCCTGGTATTTATGACATTGTTGCTTTTTTTGCACTTGCATACTTCCCTTATTTTCCCCATCAAAACTGAGTTCACACTGTCTAGCCCAGCACAAACCGACTGATGGAACTTGCTTCATCTGGCTGGGGATTTCAGTCTTGCTTTTGACTTTCCAAAAGACTTATTGTTAAGAAGTATCAGGATCGTACCTAGTGACAAAGGTAGAGTTTAACCTGTATTCTCACACTACATGAATGTAGGTTATGATTGTGAGATATTGGTTAGAGGCTTAGTGTAGATCTGGTATGATTCAATGTTTTTTGATTCATGGCTGAGAAGTCAAGGTTTTAAAATAATGAATGTTTATTATATTCATAAAGAGAATGCTTTAAGAATGTGCAATGTTAGATAAAGGACCTCATCTGTACCTATAGTGGGGCTTTGTTTAATAGCATTGATTTATAGTAGATGAGACTCACCCCAACATGCACTCATGTGGTGATCAGGAGTTGCTCTGATCCTGCAAATAGGAATGTGTGCTTAACTCTCTGCACTTAAGTAGTCCTATTGAAGTTAAGCATATAAATAAGTGTTTGCAGGATTAGGGCCTACATAAGATGGATTTCACAGATGTGCAAAAGTAAGGGAATAATTTAAAAAAACAAACAAAAAACCCACTCTCCAGCTATATGCTGAAGTACCATCTTAAGCTGTTTCTTCTTCAGATGAGGCATGTGACTAAAATTATAGAAATATGTAGTATTTACATATCCTCTTTAGGAAGTAGATACTGTATTTAAGCAAATATCCTTAGTAATAAAGAATGATGCGGGGGAAGGCTGTGACAAAATGTGTACAGAATGATGTCTAAATATTTTTCTGGAGAACACCATAATGTATTTCAAGTATATACATAAATAACTACTGAAGTGAGAGCTACTAAAAAAAAAAAAACAACAACCTGAAGTTAGGTTGCTATTAAATGTGACTCTTTTCAAAGTTCATAATAGTGCTTATTTCTGAACTACCTCAAGTTTTTTTCTGAATCCTTTACTGCTTTGTGCAGAAAGATTACTTTGCAAAATTTGCAGCAAATAATCTGATTTTGGACTTGCAAAACAAAGTGAAAAGTTAACACCAGTATGTTCATTATCTGCAGAAAGCATGCATACATGACCCTTATTTAAATAAATTGGAAATTTTGAAGCAGCAATCAAGGAGTTAAGACAATCAATGTCTCTTATAATTTTCTTTGAATAGCTGCGTTACTATGAACATTTCCTTAGCAAGAAGCTGTATAGCTGTTTTGTTGTTCATATTTTCATGTTTTGGGTGGGAAACATCAAGAAAAAAATGAAGTATACTTTTGTTTAATTTTGGAATAATTGCCTTGTGTTAATGGATTTTTCTCCTTAATTTCCCTTTGCTTTACTCTTCCTCATTCTCCATGCAAAGCTGTTGTCACCCACAGCTTTGTGTTTGCCAAATGCTAGAGAGCTCTGACACAAGGAAGAAAACAAAACTCTTGCTTTTTGTTCACATACACATGCACACACAGCTGTACCAGTACTCTAATAATTAAGCCAATCTGGAATTCCCCATTTTCTTTATGGCCCCAAAGTGCTGCCGTGAGTTCCTGTTATATTTGGCCTTCCCCAATAAGCAATGTGACCTCTTTTTTTGGATGTCCCTGGTGCTCTCATTCAGCCTCTTCTAAGAAGCTGACTCTGACATGCTCCCTCTAGCTTGTCACCTATGACATGGTATTTACCAGGGGTGTTTCTTACCATTCTGGGAAAAGCTAGTTAGTTTTAGTTTAAGATATTTTTTATCTTAAAAAGTGGTTCATGAATGCATACCATATTACTTAGTTTTTAGTTGCGTGTGGTAGAAGATTAATAATTTAATTTAGAGTTGTACCAATAAAGAGTAAAACTGCAGGAGGAATAATACTAACATAACTATAATATTGAACATCTGAATGTATATATTTAAGTATTTTCTCAAGGAAGTTATACATATCACTCATGTTTCAGTTTAATATTATATAAACAAAAGTCAAACTTTTATGAAAATGCAGAGTTGTAGGCTTGAAGCATTAAGTAATTGTGAGCATGCTGCGTTCCAGACAACCAGTCTGGGTTCATTTGGCCATGCAGCATTCTGTAGCAGAATACCAGAATCTGTACATTTCAAAAAATGTATACTTTCCTTAAAATGTAGGGAGACAGATGCCTGCAATCCACTACATCAATGAAACTACTTCTAACTGCCCATTTAAGCAATTGTATAATCTAGGTAAAGATTTATACAGTATCTGACTGTTTGGCTTTTTTTTTTTCTTTCCCCAGATCAGAGACTAAATGCAGCACTCAGACAGCATCAAGCAGAGAACCTTTTGAGGACTACCTCTGTGCAAGTATGTTAATTAGGGCTTGTCAACACTGAGGATATTTACATTGGTGTAAGATCTCAGTATAGGTGCACTGCACAAATGTAAAATAGGTCTTTCACCCCGTACACCTTAGGCTAGTTTGAAATGTGCTTGAGTCATTCACCTCTGTGAATAAGTCTATTGCAGGCCTCTGCTGTTGCTCTTAAGTTTCCCAAACAGCATTTTAGTGAAAGTGGTGTGATTGTCTTGTCAGTTTCACTGTTAAGCAATAGGTTCTGAATGGCAGCAGTGAAAACTGACAGTGATTGATTGGTGGGATTGTTTTGCTCTGAGTAACAGCAGCAGAGACATTGGAGCTGTCTGCAGACTTAGGGAGATCACAGTACATCAGTTTAACCATCCCAATGTGAAAGGAGTATATTTGCAACCATAAGGGCTAAAAAGTTTTGTTTATATTTTGTGAAAGCTCAATTTCTGCAGAAGTTGATGGTACACCTCTACCCCGATATAACACGACCCAATATAACATGAATTCAGATATAATGTGGTAAAGCAGTGTTCCAGGGGGCGGGGCTGCGCACTCCGGCAGATCAAAGCAAGTTCAATGTAACCTGGTTTCACCTATAACATGTGTCAAAGTTAGAGTGGTCTGACAAACTGAGTCCTGAGTCTGTTTTATTAGCACAGCACTCTGCTAATACATTCAGATAATGTGAGCCCCCATGCAAGATTCAAACAGTCTTATGTATACAGATAAAAGGGTGCGAACTAAACAAAGGGACAGAAAGAGCAAAATTGTAAAATTTGCATAGGGCACAACATGCATATCCTGCTTCCTTATTAACTCTTATGGATCTAAGGCTAATGCTTCACCAATTGCCTTTAAGTGGGGCAATTCATGAAGCAGTTAATGTCTGCTTTCCTGCCCCCTGGCTTGCAGCATTTCTCATTTCTACTTAAAGGTACATACAGCATTCTTTAATTCATTCTATTTCTTTAATATAATTCATTTCACTTTCACACGTGGTAAGATCTTTTGGCTCCCCAGGACAGTGTTATATTGGGGTAGAGGTGTATATGCCCTGGAAAGATTTGTAGTTCCCCAGTTCTTTTCAAGCTTTGCCTTTATAAGAAAAAATAGTTAGCCCAACTCCTAGATTTGTTTATACCAGGGGTAGGCAACCTATGGCACACGTGCCGAAGGCGGCACATGAGCTGATTTTCAGTGGCACTCACACTGCCCGGTCCTGGCCAATGGTCCGGGGGGCTCTGCATTTTAATTTAATTTTAAATGAAGCTTCTTAAACATTTTAAAAAACTTTATTTACTTTTTATACAATAGTTTAGTTATATATTATAGACTTAGAGAAAGACAGTCTAAAAACGATAAGATTTATTACTGGCACGTGAAACCTTAAATTAGAGTGAATAGATGAAGACTCGGCGTACCACTTCTGAAAGGTTGCCGACCCCTGGTTTTATACGTAGCATGCACACTTCTGACATTATATACAAAGAGCTAAATTGTTAGATTAGCTATTGTTTTTTGCCATTTTTCTGTGAATGACCTTTGTGTCTACCGCTATCCAGAAGTGAATATAGAAATCATATGTAATCTCATTAGCGTAGTTGATTCCGTGCTCTGTAATGTGATATTTCTGCATATGTATGCATCCCAAGACACATCTAGAATTCCAATGACAATTTTCTTTCAGATTGCATGGGAATTCTAAAAATTAGTTCATTGTGCATACATATCCAAAACTGATCATGTGAGATCTGATTTAAGTTTTGAATACAAATGGAGTAGAATCAAGTTCTTTATAGATTTGAGCTCTGAAATCAAGTTTAAGAACTTCCAATTTTGTGCATTAATGTGCAAACTACTGTATTACAGAAAAATGTTGTAAGGGGTGATGACCCACTGGAACCGTGGCTGACTGACCAAAGGTAATCCTATTTTAAAATTGTCATGTACTCAAATAGTAGGGCATGGCCATTTTCAGCAGGTAACTTAATTGTTTTATAAATGTCTAATCATGAAAGTGTAAATAAAATGAATTTAGGAGGTATGATTATCCCTCTCCTTTTTAAAAACAAAAAAACCCCTCCAAAGAATCCGATTAACTAGCCTTGGGAGGAAGGAAATTGGAAGCTAGACATGGGTGAGAGATTATTTCCTCTGTGTCAGAATCTTAGAAATGTAGGGCTGGAAGAGACTTCAGTAGGTCATCTAGTCCAGTCCCCTACACTGAGGCAAGACTACTTTATCTAGATCAGCCCTGTCAGGTGTTTGTCTTGCATGTTCTTAAAAAATCTCCAATGATTGAGATTTCACAACCTCCCACGTAGTTTGTTCTAGTGCTGGACTACAATTACAATTAGGTTAGACACTAAGAAAAACGTTCAAGTCTCCCTTGATTTGCTGAACAGTTTTGACTAATGAAAGTGTTGCATGGTTTTTGTTCATTTCATGCTCAGTATACTCCTTATGATGTTTATCACAATGTTCTATGCACTTTCAGCTGTTTATTACATTTACTGTTATTAGTACATGTTAGACAGGTTACTCCATTTTCCAAAATTGAGTTCAGGCAAAGAATAACTCAGACTCCATATTGGGGAAGCTTCTTTACAGAACTTTGGCAGGAAAGAAGCCAGACATTTGGAATTAGTTCCAACTGGCTCCTGTAGAGCTACTTGCACACGCCAAAGTTCTGACGTGTCTTTAAAAATTAAATTAGTCTGAGTACCTGTTGCTTGGGGAGTGTCAGTTTATAGAGACAGTCAAGGTACAATCTTTTTGCGCAGCGTCAGATCAAGACTGCCCGACCAGGCAATTAAATCAAGATCACCAGCAGCTGTAAAGAAATTAAAGACTGTTAGCATCTAGTCACTTACCTTAAGCATCATGGTGTTCCTGAGTTCCAACATCTTACCTTTGGAACCAATCGCCAGGATCCTGAGGGCTCTCACCTTCGGGTCCCACTATTTTAGCTTCTAGATCCTGGCAGTCCGTGGATCACCTGTGATGATAAATCTATCTTAACATCTTTCCTGCCAGTTGAGAAAACCTAGAGCAGTGGTTTTCAAACATTTTTTCTGGCAACCCAGTTGAAGAAAATTGTTGATGCCCACAACCCAACGGAGCTGGGAGATGAAGGGTTTGGGAGGGGCTCAAGGCTGGGGTAGAGGGTTGGGGTGCAGGCTGTGGGCTCTGGGATGGGGATGAGGGGTTTAGGGTGCAGGAAGGGGGCTCTGGGATGGGGGGCTGGATTGGGCTTACCGCAGGCAGCTCCTGGTCAGCAGTGGAGCGGGGGTGCTAAGGCAGGCTTCCTGCCTGTCCTGGCACTGCTGATTGCGCTGCGCTCTGAAAATGGACAGCAGCAGATCCAGCTACTAGGCGGAGGAGCGCAATCAGCTCTGCGCAGCTCTTGCCCGCTGGCACTGCCTCCCCACTCCCCCCAGCTCCCATTGGCTAGTTTCTGGCCAATGGGAGTGCAGAGCTGGTGCTCAGGGCCAGGGCAGTGTGCAGCGCCCCATGGCCCCACCCATCCTAGGGGTTGGACCTGCTGCTGGCTGCTTGGGGCACAGCGTCAGCACAGGTAGGGACTAGCCTGCTTTAGCTGGGCAGCACCACCAACAGAACTTTTAATGGCCTGGTTGGTGCTGTGACCCAGTACTGTGTCACAACCCACAGTTTGAAAACCACAGACCTAGAGACAGTAAAGTATCTTGGGGTATTCTTTTGTTCTCTTTTGTTTAGTTGTTGCCAAGGTTTGGGTCAGTTGGAGCCTGAGTTTTATACTCCCCTCCATTAAACCACAATTCACTTGGTCATCGTTCATGATGTTTCCCTGTTCCCATTGTTACTGCTCTTAAATAAATAATTTTTTGTTGTTTTGGAAAAATACTCTCTTTTGTCCTCTACACCACACAAGGGAGGTGGGAGGCACACCAACTTCTATCTAACCCCAGGTGATGGATCTTTTCACCCCTCAGGATCTTGCTGCTGAAACCAGAATTTTTGCTGGCCTATTTACTCTGAGTTTCAGGTTAACAAAAATATGTGGAAAAACTCCAGCCAAAGTTTGATCTTATGTTTAAGGCTGTTATACCAATAGAATAAAAACCAGCAGGATTTTATTAAGAGGAATAAGGCAAAGATGCCACATTTAATGTAAATATACTGATAAAGCAAAAGATCAAAGTAAACAATGTTGTTTGACTACTTATTTTTTATATATATATATATATATATATATATAGTAGAGAGAGAGA